GGGGCGAGGCGCGGGGGGGGGAGGAGGAGGAGAAGGGGAGGCACTTCCGGTCTGGCCCCTCCCCCCTCCAGAGCCCTCCCGCGCAGGTGCAGAGCGAGGGAGCGCGGGGAGAGGGACGCACAGCCTGGTACAGACGCCTGGCGACCGCGTGCAGGGGCGCGCGACCGAGCCCCGCTGCCACAGAGGCCCCGGCAGGGAGGGGACGACCAGCCCACCGCCGCAGACCGACACGCTACTTCCGTCCGCAACACAGTCTGCACCGGCCGCGTAGAGGAAGGCTGGGCCATCCAGACCCGGGCTCCCAGTCAGTGAGAGGCACCCCTCCCCCCAGAGAAGCCCAGGCCGAGGGACGGTCCACACAGCAGAGCGCACCGGGGGCCGCGGCCACCGAGGGAGAGGGGACCGGAAGGCGAGCGCCACACGGCTCCAGCAGGGGTGCTGGCAGAGAGAAACGAGGAGGTCCGGAGCGCACAACACAACCCGAGCCGCGCGCAACCACGCACAGGGTCACAGAGAGCAGGGCTGGGGGAGGGGCGCCCCAACACCCTCCCCCCACACACACCCACATATACAGGACGGGGAAAGACATTGGACAAGACAGAGCTGGTGGGGGGCGAGGGGACCACTCCCACCCAACCAACGTGTGGAGCAAGTGACCCCAGACCAAGGCCGAGCGGAAGCTGTTGGGCGGCAAGACTCGGTTGGGGAACCTCCATACTCACCCGGTGCCCAGAGCCAGAGACGTGCCCAGTGAACACGCAAAACGGTCAAGTGCCTCAGACGCTCGGGGCGCAGGGTGGCATCCCGTCACCCTCCCCCCACGGTGCTATATTTCTTTCCACCCCCCCCAACCCGTCCCCGTGGCCAGAACACAGACACAAAGGTTTGGACGCATTTAATGGAAGGATACTACAAACACGAGGACCCTTCCCTGGATTGGGGCGGGGGGCAGGGGGAAGGGGGCAAGATGTGATCTTCCAGACTCCAAATTAAGATTGCCAGCCCTCCTTTCCGAAAGCCCAAATTCTGAAGGCGCCCCTCTACCTCTTCCACCTCCACACACACACACACACCGCCGCCTGCAACACCCCAGGCCCTGAATCTCAGATCCACTACAGAGACAACAAATACGAGCACACGCTTTGACGTGCTGTGCCACACAGTGACATGCACCGAGGGGACAGGCGTGTGCAGAAACCCGCCTGTCCTCGTGCATAGCAGACACACCCACGCCACTGCCCACAGTCTCAGACCCACAGACAGATTCCAAGAAACCCAGGTGTGCGGGGCGGGACAGGCGCGGGAGGATGGGGAGGTGGGGAGGTCCACGTGGGGGCCCTCTCGGGCACGCATGCACGCAGACACGGGTCATGCGCCTCTACACACGCAAGCAAGGACACGCTAGAGCAGTCCACACGCAGACAGAGACGCTCGCTCGTGGGACGGGGAGCCGCAGCTGCAGTCGTGCACACGCACGCCTGCACACACTCCCACGCAGGCACCCCCTTCCTCCCCGAGCGAGCGTGACCCCGGAACCCTCCCTGCCCTCCCTTCTCACCTCCCAGGGCCAGTCCCATCCATCAAGCTTCCAAAGCAAATCAGCCAGCAGCCAGGGAGGGGAAAGGTCAGTGTGCCCTCTGCAGCCCCGCCCCACCCTGCCCTGCCTGGCTCTCCCTTCCCCCCACCCCACTCCCCTGCACACACACTTCTGCTGCATTGTGACTCCAGCCCCCAGCCAGCCGCACACAAAAGCTCCTGTGTCCCCGGGCATCCCCACCCCTGGGCACCACCCCCTCGTCCATCCCTAGCTCCGGGCACTGCCTGGGAGCCTACGCTCTTGGGTGGAGGCAGGGCTGTGCGGGTCTGAAGCGTACTCTCCCTCCCCCACCCCCACATCCAGTCTTAGAAGGCGCCGAAGAGAAAGGGTCCCCCCTGCCCTCCAGGAGTTGGAAATCCTTAAAGGTGTAGAGGGACAGGAGGGTGGAGTTCCCAAGAGTGTAAGGACCCTTACCTTGGGGTATCAAAGCTGTCGTAGGAGCCCACGGTGTAATGGCGGAACAGTCTCTTTGCCTTGTCGCTCCGGCTTTCTGCTGAAGGGGACAAGGGACAGCTTTGATTCCTCCCTCTCAAAACCACAGGTCCCCCCACCTCCCAGCTCCCCCCATCCACAGGGGGAAACAAAGGGACATTAGAATTTTGGGGTACACTGGGGACCAGAGGAGATTCATACCTTGCTTCCCCTCCTGGGAGCGGTTGGCCACCTCCTCCAGGCAGTCAGAGGGAAACCACCCAACACGACCTTTGACCTGGCCTTCCCAGAAGCCTCCTTCCCCGATACTAAGCACTGGGGGGGGGGGGGACAGGGAAAGAAACACGTCTGCGTTTCCGCTCTCCATCCTCCACACTCAGTGGGCCCACAAGCCCCAACACCTACACACACTTAACAGATGTTTGGGGGACCACATGACATCCCTTCTGCATTCCAACTTTCTGGAGCTAATAGGGGACATCGGAGGCATTGGCATAAAAGGCCCTTGTCTATGACACCGTCCTCGTATGTTAGGAACATGTCCACACTCTGTCTTCCCCTCCCCTGGTCACAGCTCAGTTGCACTCTCATTCCCTCCAAACTCTCTTGCCACCTCACCCCACTTCCTCGCCACTCAATCCTTTATACAGGCATGCCTCAGAGATATTACGGGTTCGGTTCCAGATCCCCGCAGTAAAGCGAATATTGCAGTAGAACGAGTCACATGCATTTTTCCTGGCACCAATAGAAGTTCTGTTGACACTATAGTCTATTAAGTGTGCAATAAAAAAAAGAAGAAAACCAAACCCACTGCCATCGAGTCAAGTCCGACTCACAAATCCAAACGCACTGCTGTCAAGTCAGATCTGACTCATAGTGACCCCTCCTTGGGTTTCGGAGGCAGTATCACTACAGAAGTAGATTGCCCAACCTTCCTTCCGAGGAGTGGCTGGTGGGTTTGAACTGCCAGCCTTCTGGTTAGCAGTCAAGTGCCTTAGGCACTATGCCACCATAGTGACCCTTTAGAACAAACAGAGTAGAACCGTTCCATATTGTTTCCAAGGCTGTCACTCTTTATGGAAGCAGACTGCCTCCTTTTTCTCCTGAGGAACAGCTGGTAGGTTTGAACTGCTGACCTTCTGGTAAGCAGCCGAGTGCTTTAACCCTTACCCCACCAGAGGTTTGTTCAGTGTGCAACAGCAACACGATGAAAACGTGTGAACTGTTGTGAGAATGATCAAAATGGAACACAATGACACCCAGTGAACTCATGCTGTTGGAAAAATGGCTCCAATAGACCTGCTTGACAGACTTACCGTAAACCTTCAGTATGTTGGGAAAAGAAAAACAAAACGCACTATCTGTGAGCTCTGGTAGCATAGTGGCTAAGACACTTGCCTGCTCACCAGAAGGCTGGCGGTTCAAACCCACCAGCCACTCCTCGGAAGGAAGATGGGGCAATCTACTTACATGTAGATACATGGAAGTGATACTGCCTCGGAAACCCAAGGAGGGGTCACTATGAGTACTGCCTCGGAAACCCAAGGAGGGGTCCCTATAAGTCAGGGCTGACTCGACGGCACATAACAACAACACTATCTGTGAAGCGCAATAAAATGAGGTGTGCCTGTATTTTGCTCCCAGCCTTTCCCCACCACCTCCCCTGGCCAGCCGCCCTGCCCCCTATACTCCAGGCAGGAGTTTTCTCACACAGTCGCTTCTCCCCACCGCCTCTAACTTGCAGGCAGCCTCCTCCCAGCGCCAGCTCTTAGCCTTTCAAGACACAGTTTCAGTCTGCCTGCTACATGCCCAATGCTACAGTGGGCACTGAGGTGCAAAGAAGGGTGACAAGGACATCTAACGTTCATCCAGCGCTCACGCTGGGTCAGAGCCCTCATTGTACCCATTTTACTGATGGGGAAACTGAAGCTCAGAAACATGAGGTCACTTGCCCAACACTACACAGCCAGTAAGTGGCAGAGCCTGGATTTGAACAGAGCACTCTTTCTAGAGCTAACGCTTGTAATTGTTCATGTTTGCCTCCTGTCATGCTTTTAATAAGGAGCTCTGGTGGCACAGTGCCTAAGGCCTTTGACTGCTAACCAGAAGGTTGGGAGTTCAAACCCACCAGCTGCTCCATGGAAGGAAGATGAGGCAATCTACTTCTGTGAAGATTTACCACCCTGGAAACCCAATGGGGGTTGCTATGAGTCAGAACTGACTCAGTGACAATGGGCTAATGCTTTTTTAATAAAGAGCACAGGTGGTGCAGTGGTTAAAGCATTCAGCTGCTAACCAAAAGGTTGGTAATTCGAACCCACCAGCTGTTCTGTGGAAGAAAGATGTGGCAATCAGTTTCCATAAAGATGACAGCCTCGGAAACCCTTGGGACAGTTCTATTCTGTCCTATAGGGTTACAATGTGTCAGAATTGACTCGACAGCAATGAGTCTGGTTTGTGTTTAATGACTGTAATAAGAAACCCTGGTGATGCAATGGTTAAGGGCTCGGCTGCTAACCAAAAGATCGGTGGTTCAAATCCATCAGAGGCCACAAGGGAGAAAAGAACTGGTAATATGCTTCCATAAGACTGACATCCTTGGAAACCCTGCAGGCAGTTCCACTCTGTCCTCTAGGGGCGCTATGAGTTGGACTTGACTCCACGGCAGTGGGTGTGGTTTGGGCTTTGCTTCTGTAAAGATTGACAGCCTTGGAGACCCTGTGGGCAGTTCCACTCTGTCCTCTAGGGGCGCTGTGGGTCAGAATCAACTTGCTGCCACACAACATCAACAATACTTTGAATCCACAGCCGTCTGTCAGTCTGTCAGTGCGTCAGGCCATGGCGGCCTGTGTGTTGCTGTGAGGCTGGAAGCGATACCACCAGTAAGTCTGACACCAGCAGGGTCCCTGACGGTGGACAGGTTTCCGTGGAGCTTCCAGACTGAGAAAGACCAGGAAAAACGGCTTGGTGACCTCCGTCTGAGAAACAGTCACTGAAACAGCATGTGGACGACACTAGAACTCTGTCCGCGGAGGCCGGGAGATGGCCCTCAACGTACACAGTGGCCACAGCAGCGTGGAGCGTGCTGACGATGGTGCGGATGGTGCGGCCTTTTGTTCTGTGCAACGTGGGTCGGCACGAGTCAGGATCGAATCAACCGGAACTAGCAACAACTGATGGGAAATTGAGGCCCAGAGAGCCAAAGTCACCCCTGGCAGAGTCTGGATTTGAACCCAAAGTACTTTCCTTGTAGACTGAATGCTCTCAACGACTCAAGTGTTGCCATCTCTGAGTGTAAAATAGTGACCCCTCCTTGGGTTTCGGAGGCAGTATCACTACAGAAGTAGATTGCCCAACCTTCCTTCCGAGGAGTGGCTGGTGGGTTTGAACTGCCAGCCTTCTGTTTAGCAGTCAAATGCCTTAGGCACTACGCTACCAGAACTCCTCTTTTTATGATGAGGAGGGGGCCATAAAAACAGACTGCAGTGGGTCCCGTCCTTGAACACAAGCATTGGGCTTGACGCTCAGGAAAGCCCAGCAGGAGATGTGTTCCCAGTACCGTCTGCCCAGAAGGTCACTCACTCCGGGCCTCGGCGTCCATTTCTTCTTTCCCCAGCCCTCCACACACACACATCCCAGGCATGCTTGTTCCCAAAGGCATTGCACCTTGCCCCCATGGTTAGCTCCTGTATTTGGTCATTCATTCACTCGCTCAGCTAGTACAGAAATCCTCCCAACTGGACCAATAAGCAACATCCCAATAAACAGAGGAAAGGTTGACATCATGGGTTTCACTTTACTTAGATCCACTATCAACGCTCATGGAAACAGCACTCAGGAAATCCAATGACGTACTGCACTGGGCAGATCTGCTGCAAAAGACTTCTTTCAAGTGTTAAAGAGCAAAGATGTCACTTTGAAGACTAAGATGCACTTGACCCAAGCCATGGTCTTTTCAATTGCCTCATAGACATGTGGAAGCTGGACAGGGAATAAGGAAGACTGAAGAAGGATTGATGCCTTTGAATTATGGTCTTGGCAAAGAATAGTGAACATACCCTGGACTGCCAGATGAATGAACCAGTCTGTCATGGAAGAAGTACAGACAGAATGCTCCTTAGAAGGAAGGATGGAGCGACTTTTCCCCACATAGTTTGGACTTGTGATCAGGAGGGATCGGTCCCCGGAGAGGGACCTCATGTTAGGGAAGCAGAGGGTGAGTGAAAACGGGGGGGGGGGCCCTCAAGGAGGTGGATGGACACCGTGGCTGCAAAGAAGGGCGCACGCACAGCAAGGATTGTGAGGCTGGCACAGGGCCGGCGGGTTCCATTCTGTTGTAAGTGGGGTCACCATGAGTTGGAGCTGCCTCAATGGCACCTAGCAGTAATACAGTGCTGGGCATGTAGGCTGGGTCCTGGTGACCCAGAGACCAAGGACATGGACGCTGCCCTCAGAAGCTCAGTTCTACGAGGAGACAAAGTGGATGATAACACAGTTATACAACCGGTCTGAAGATCTGATTCCAGGCCCTGCCCGAGCTCTGTCTCTCCTGCAAGACCCTCCCGGCTTACTCAGGGGGTCTGGGCCTCTCTCCTCTAAAAGCCTAGAGCAGGCCCTGTCTATGACAATGAGGACTGTTGGTGTTGTTGTTATGTGCCGTCGAGTCGGACCCGACTCATAGCGACCCCTCCTTGGGTTTCTGAGGCAGTATCACTACAGAAGTAGATTGCCCAACCTTCCTTCCGAGGAGTGGCTAGCATGTCCCAAAACCAAACCAAACTCACTGCTGTTGAGTCAAATCCGACTCATAGCGAGCCCGCCTTGGGTTTCCGAGGCAGTATCTCTACGGAAGTAGATTGCCCAACCTTCCTTCTGAGGAGTGACTGGTGGGTTTGAACCACCAGCCTTCTGGTTGGCAGTCAAGGGCCTTAGGCACTACACCACCAGAGCACTTATGCAGCGTTTACTAACAATGGTAGAATTCTCCAGGCTCCATCCCCAGCCACTGCACCTTACGTCTGCCACCCCCCATCTGTCGGCAGAGGTCTGAGCGCTGCCACAAGGCTGAGCAGTTTTCAGAACTTGCAGACTAAGACTAGCAGGTAAGGCCTGGCAATCTATGTCCAAAAACCAGCCGATGGAAACCCAACAGCACACAAGGCTCCAGTCCCCAATCTATGATTGCAATCTACGGAAGTAGTGGCAGCCCTGTCTTCCGTGGCACCACTGGACGGACAGACTCACAGTGCCAACCCTTCAGTTAGGAGCTGAGCACAAGCCAGGGAGCCCGGTGGGTGCCTGGCAGAGGGTCATCTCCCTTCCTTTTGCCCCAACACTGCCTCCTGCTGGGGCCACAGCTGAACTACATCATGCGGATGGCACAAGACCATAAACCCAACATCCATGTCCTTCTGCTAAGCTTCGGGGCACCCTGAGTCCAGGCTTAACAACAGCGGTGTGCAAAGCGTGGCTCTAACACCCTTCCTTCTATGCCCAAGCTCCTTTAAACCTCACAAGGGTCCCCTTTGACAGATGCGGAAACCGAAGCCCAGAGAAGTCACTTGCCTGAGGTCAGACAGCTAGGAGGTGGTAGGGCCCAGATTCGAACCTGCGACGCCTGGCTCTCCACCACTACACAGCATACTTTCCTTGTAGCCTGGAGTGGGGCAGAGACGCACTCATCTGTTTATCACCTGGTGTATTATCATATTTGCGTGGTTCTCTGCCTCCAAAGCCCCGTGCTGCCCGAGAACACAGTCTAAAGCCCGTCCAGATGACGACTGCAAAGCCAGAGTCTGCACCGTGGGCCGTACGTGGCACGTCCACTCCCTCATGAGCCTCGTCCCAGCCCCATGAGGCGGGCACTGCCCCACCCTGCAGGTGTGAACACCCGGCAAAGGCTGGCTTCTCACTCAGCACCAGGTGAGAGCAAACACCTTGACCTTGGGCCAGTTGCGTCGCCTCTGGGGAGCTCCGTGTCTTCCAGTGTATGGCGGGGCTCACGGCACCCCCAGAAGGACCATTGTCACTGGGATGTGACCCCACAAGTGAACTGCCCTAACACCGCCTGGCTCAGCGACAGCAAAACCCAAGCCCTTCGCTGTGGAGTTGATTCCAAGGCAAGACGACCATGCGTTTCCCAGCGGGATCATGCTCTACAGGGTTTGCGACAGCTGTAATTTTTGCAGACAGGAGCTCTGGTGGCCCAGCAGCGAAAGCACTCAGCTGTTGCCAGGTCGGTGGTTCAAACTCACCCAGTGGCACCATGTGTTCCTGTAAAGATTCCCCAAACCTGCTGCTGTAGAATCAATTCCGACTCCTAGAGGACAGAGTGGAACTGCCCCACAGGGTCTCCAAGGCTGTCAATCTTCACAGAAGCAAAGCCCAAACCACACCCACTGCCGTGGAGTCGATTCTGACCCACAGCGCCCCTAGAGGACAGAGTGGAACTGCCCCAGAGGGTCTCCAAGGCTGTCAATCTTCACAGAAGCAAAGCCCAAACCACACCCACTGCCGTGGAGTCGATTCTGACCCACAGCGCCCCTAGAGGACAGAGTGGAACTGCCCCAGAGGGTCTCCAAGGCTGTCAATCTTCACAGAAGCAAAGCCCAAACCACACCCACTGCCCACAGCGCCCCTAGAGGACAGAGTGGAACTGCCCCATAAAAGTTCCAAGGCTGTCAGTCTTCACCGGAGCCAATCGCTGCATCTTTTCCCTGCGGAGCAGCTGGTGGTTTCAACTGCCGATCTTTGGATTAGCGTGTAAGCACCTAATCATGGCGCCACCAGGGCTCCTCTGTAAAGATGACCGCCTAGTAAACCCTATGGAGCAGTTCTACCGTCACATGGGGTGGCTATAAACCAAATCGACTGGGTGACATCTCACAAGGATCTATACGGAAGTAGATTGGCAGGCCGTTCTTCTGTGGCGCTACTGGGAGAACTCACACTGCCAACCCTTCAGCTAGGAACTGAGCACACCAGGGACCCTGGTCAGTGCCTGGCAGAAAGGTGCACGTCCCCTCCTTTCGCCCCACCACTGCCTCCTGCTGGGGTCACAGGGCAGCTACAGCTGAGGCTGCTCCCAGGGGAGGGGGCGGCGCCTCGGGGCTCTCGCGCGTGCGCACTGCGCCCCCTAGGCCCTGGCGCACTGTGTTCAGTCTGCTCCTGACTTTTGTAGCTGGGCCCCACCGACGCCCTGCCCCGCTGCCCTCCCCACCTACCTTTGATCTTCTCGCCCTTGCTCAAGGAGATCTCCCCCTCGCCTTGGGCCTGGTACGACTTCACCGCCATGAAGGAGCGTCCAGGGACGGCCGAGTAGAGCTTCCTCCGCCTCCCGCGACTGCCCAGGGAGCCCCCAGGGCCCCCCGAGCCCCCCGTGCCCCCGGCCGGCCCTTCCCGGGGCGTCCCACTGGAGCTGCGTACACAGAGGGTGTGAGGGGCAGGGGAGAGCAGGGGGCCGCGGGGTGCGGGGTGCGGGGGGTGGGGGTCAGGGTGCAGGAGCGGCTTGCAGCGTGTTTCCCACCTCGGGCATGCTCAGGGGAAGGGGGCGTTTGGGGGGTCCCTCTGCCTGCCCGCTGCCCCCTGCCCGCACCCCGCTCTCCTGCCTCCAGGCTTCCGGCCCTGCCCCTTCCCACCCTGCGCGTGCTGCCTGGTTCGCTTTGTGCAGCTGAGCTGAGCTGGATCGTGTCGCCCTCAGCTCGGAGCCTTCAGCCTCCTCCCGTGAGGTCCGGGCCCCTGTGCACCCCGAGAGCCGCCTTCCGCTCTCCACTTCCTCAGGACACACCTGGCCTCCCCTCTGTCCCCCCAGAACGTGTCCCTTCCAGAGAGACCTCTCTGCTCCGTCCCAGCCCTTCCTCTCCTCCAGGGGCCATATCCAAGCCCCTGATGCGCGGGGCCCCTGGTCCCTGGAGGCGGGCATCCCCTTCTCTCCGCTTTATCTGTCTGTCCTCAGGGGCTGGAGCTGCCCCCTCCTCTCCCAGCAGAGGGGTTCTCATACTTTTACTTTTCTTGGGGTGCAGGGTGGAGCAAGGGACTTGGATGGATGGGTGGAAAAACTGGTGGGGGCCCAGCCACTAATGGGTCAGGCAGTGGGGAGCTGGGGCCCTGGGGAAGGGGTTGGGCAGGGTTGGGGACTCCAGGCCCAGGGCTGCGAAGCTCCCCTACCTGGGCCTTCCTCTGGGCTGCCTCTTGGCTTCCTCAGGGTGCCTCCCGCGGGACGGGGAGCGGGCCCGGGCTCCTCGGGGGCTGCTGGCACTTCGGAGGGTCCCACTGCTGAGCTTGGTGCTGGGGGCTGGGGGCTGCGACTGGCCCTGGGGCCCTGAGCTTGGAGCAGGGCCCCCGGAGGATGAGGCGCCGGGCGCTGAGAACACCATCCAGTCGGGCAGGGCCATGCTGGTGTCACTGTTGGCTCGCAGCAGGGCTGGGGGCACCGTCAGCCCTGCGCCCGGGGGTCCTCGCCGCCGGGCTGCATATTTGGGGGACTCCTGGAAGGGCACTGAGGGGCGGGAGATGGGAGAGAGAGGGGTGGGAGGGGGAAGATGGGAGATAAGAAAGAGTCTGGGGTTTGGAATCACTCCCCCTACGCACCTGGGTGGTGTTAATGTGTAATGCACACCCTGCTGCTAAGCGAAAGGTCATAGGGTCAAGTCCATCCAGAGACACCCTGGAAGACAGGCCTGGTGATCTGCTTTCGAAAAGTCACCCTTTGAAAACCCCATGGGGCATAGTTTCACTCTGACTCACATGGGGTTGTCAATAGTCAAAATCAACTTGCTGGCAATAGTTTGTTTTGTGCATTGGCAGTTCCTTCCGCCCCTGCACGGTGCAAATGGTTAAGTGCTCGGCTGCGGACTGAAAGGTTGCAGGTTCCAGTCCACCCAGTGGCACTTGGGAAAAAAACACGCCTGGCCACCGGGTTCTGAAAAACGGAGGCACTGAAAAGCCTAGGCTGCTCCGTTTTCCGCTGACACAGTGCGGTCGCCAGGAGGCCACTGGCTGTAGCCAGCGTTCTTCCTGGGTGGGGTGAGCGCTTGACGGCTCGGCCGCTAACTGAGGACCTGGCAGCGTGACCCCAGCCAGAGGTGCCTTGGTAGAAAGGCGTGGGAATCTGCTTCCAAAAATTCAGCCACTGAAACCCTATAGCGTTCGGACGCACGTGGGGTCGCAGTGTGTCGGTTAACCAGATGGCCACGGGTTAGCTCGTTACCAGTCCTCATAGGCTCACGCCCCCCCAGGGCCGTCTCCATCCCATCCTGGGCCCCCCACCAATCAGATCATCCCACTCTCCACTCCACCCCCCCCACTGCACTAGGCTCCTCCCCTTGACCCCGGCTCCGCCCACTCACCCACACACCAATCAGATCATCCCACTCTCCACTCCACCCCCCCCACTGCCCTAGGCTCCTCCCCTTGACCCCGGCTCCGCCCACTCACCCACATCCTGTTCTCGGTGGTTTCGGATCAGCTCTCCCAGCTCAAAGTTCCCAGCAATCACTGCGACCTGGAGGGAAAAGAAGGGGGAAGGGGACATGGTGAGGTCCCTGGCAGCCTTCGCGCGCCCCAGACCGTCCACTCCAGCAAGAGACCCCTCCCCGGCGCCCCTCAGTGTCCTCCTGTCCTCCTTTCCCCACCGTCTTTGCGTCACACCCGGTGCCACCATCTTTGCGTCACACCCAGCGCCAGCCCCTGCAGCGCCAGCCCCTGACCTGGAAAGGGGTCTGTCCCTTGTTATTCTTCACGTCCTTGTTGGCCCCTCGGTACAGCAGGATCCTGGCACAGGTCTCCTGAGAGGAGAAGGGTGTGGCCGGGGGGAACAGGGTGAAGGGGGGAAAAAAAACAGTCACTGTCACCACCATCCGTGGTACCAGGCTCTGTGCTAAGTTTCGGGAATCGTACACCGGCCTGCCCAGTCCTGAGCCCGTTCAGCTCGCTGATCCACACTGCGAGGTGCTGTGGGTGTGAAAAGGAGCCCTGGTGGTGCTAAGCACTTCACAACTCACCCAAAGGTCGCCGGTTTGAACCCACTCACGGGAGAAAGCTGAGGCAGTCTGCTTCCATAAAGATTAGTCTAGGAAACCCTAGGGGGCAGGTCCACTCTGTTCTCCGGGGTGGCGAGGAGTCAGAATTGACTCGCAGGCAGTGGGTTTGGTTTGTTTGGTGAGTGTAGAATACACATTGGATTTCAAAGACCCAGTCGGCCTGGGTGGCACGAGCACTTAAGCCCTTGTCTGCTAACCCAAAGGCTGGCAGTTCAAGTCCCCAGAGGTGCCTTCAAAGAAAGGCTGGGCAATCTACTTGTGGGAAAAAAAAAACAAAAAACAAAAACCACCACCACCATTGAAAACCCTACGGGAGCTTATCGGCTACCCAAGCATCAGGTTCGGGTCCGGAGCACTGCTATAAAACAAATGTCACCAGAAAGTGGTCACATGTATCTTTTGGTTTCCCAACACATATAAAAGTTACATTGACATTATGGTGTTGTCTGTAAGTGTGCAATACAAATTAAAAGCCAAACCCACCACCGAGTCGATTCTGACTCACAGAGACCCCCCGTTGGGTTTCCGAGGTGGTAAATCTTCGTGCAAGCGGATCGCCCAGTCTTCTTTCCGCGGAGTGGCTGTTGGGTTTGAACCGCCAGCCTTCTGGTTAGCAGTCAAGTGCCTTAGGCACTGCGCCACCAGAGCTCCTACCTTCACAGAAGCAAAGCCCAAACCACACCCAGTGCCTGGAGGGGATTCTGACCCACAGCGCCCCTAGAGGACACAGTGGAACTGCACCACAGGGTCTCCAAGGCTGTCAGTCTTTATGGGAGCAAAGCCCAAACCACACCTACTGGAAGCAAAGCCCAAACCAAAGTCACTGCCATTGACTTGACTTGACTCATAGCAACCCCTCCTTGGGTTTCCGAGGCAGTATCACTACGGAAGTAGATTGCCCAACCTTCCTTCCGAGGAGTGGCTGGTGGGTTTGAACCGACAACCTTCTGGTTAGCAGTCAAGTGCCTTAGGCACTGCACCACCAGAGCTCCTTCGCATGATGAAAAAGCTTGAACTACTGTGAAAGAGTTTAAAGGGGGACACAGAGACGGGAAAAGAGCCCAGGCTGTTGGAAAAATGACGCAGGGTGGCCCCAGACCGTCAGCCTGTAAACACCTCAGTATCGGCAAAGTACAGTAGCGCGAGGTGTGCCTGCGCTGGGCTCGCTGCGGTTTCAACGCGCCCGGCACCGTGTGCCTCTGGATGTTTGTACCCACTGCTTCTGCGGCTGGACTAGTCCTTGGAACCCACATAGCTGGCTGACCCCCCTTTCCAACTCTTCATTCCAATCGTATCTTCTCAGTAAAGCTCTTTCATCATCTGCTGCAAACGACTTTCCCCAAGCACTTCCCATCCCTACCTTCCTGCTTCATTTCTCTCTCTTGTACTTATCAGCAACTCCCACTTTATTCTTAAATCTTTCGTGGTCTCTCTCCACTGGAATGTAAGCTTCATGAGGGCAGGAGCTTTTGTGGTTGTTAGTATACACAGCACAACACAGTCATCCAACAGTTTCTCCATGCACAGTTCAGTCCCATTGATGACCTTCTTCGTAACCAGTCTCACCCTCCTTTCTGACTCGGTCCTCCCCCTCTTACATACACGCACTGCCCCCTAAGGTTCTTATCTAACCTTTTGAGTTACTGTGGTCAGTTTGATCCCATGTCAATCTTAAAACATAACAATACTCCAGACAGATGCTTTTTTTTTTTTTTTTTAAGTTGAGTGAAACTGTTGTTTCACTTAAAGAAGATTTCAGAGCATCTTTTCGGTTTAAGGTTTAAAGATTATCTCAGGACCATAGTTTCAGGGGTTCATCCAGCCTTCATGGCTCCAGAAAGTCTGGATTCCACGAGAATTTAAAGTTCTGTTTGAGGGCGTAAGTTTTTGTTCGTTTTGCTCACACCTGAATCCTCACCATGCTTGGCACATAATAGGGGCTTAATAAATGTTTGTTGAATAATTAAAAAAAAAAAAAAAAAAAACATAGATACAGTGCCACCCTGACATCCACGGGGTTGCCACTCGCCGGCATTGACTCAACAGCAACTGGTTTCGTTGGCTTTTTTCCAAGAGTTGGTACTGAGAAAACAATGTCAGTCTCTCCAATAACTTTCATATTGCTTACCTACTGAACATATTCAGTATTATCAACAATATTTTGGACATAATGGTTTAAATAAAGATATACTCTTGAAATTAAGGAGTTCATTTCTTTTTCCTTTTATTGAATGGGACAACCAACCAGTACCAGTTGCTGCAAAGTCAGTTTCGATGCCAGGCGCCACCTTGTGTTTGGAGTGGAACTGCACCCCACAGAGTTTTCAATGGCTGGGAGCTCTGGTAACATAGTGCCTAAGGCGCTTGACTGCTCACCAGAAGGCTGGCAGTTCAAAACCACCAGCCACTCCTCAGAAGGAAGATGGGGCAATCTACTTCCGTAGTGATACTGCCTCGGAAACCCAAGGAGGGGTTGCTATGAATCAGGTCTGACTCGACGGCACAGAACAACAACAACGAGATCAATCAGAAGTGCATTACTAGGCACCTCAGGATGGGTTCAAACCCTAACCTTTTCTTTAGCTGCCGAGCACCGTCAATGGTTTGCACCACCTAGGGACATTCCATGTGGCTACTAGAAGATCTAAAATTGCGTACATGGGTGGTGGAATAATTTGCAAAATTATTCCATCCTCACAAGTAGTGAGGATGGCCGCACAACTTGAGAAAAATGTCATCGATGTTACTGAGTTATAGATGCAGAAATTGCTGAGGTCATGTGTATTCTGTTATGTATATTTTATCCACTATAATAATAATAACATTTAAATTACATGCACAGCACACCTTATATTCTATTGGACAGCGTTAATCTAAACCAGGATGTATTAACCTCTGCACTACTGACAGGAGTCTTGGTGGTGCAGTGGTTAAGTGATCCCTGTCAACCCAAAGACTGAAGGTTCAAACCCACCAGGCACTCCATTGGAGAAGTCATAACAGTCTGCTTCTGCAAAGATTAAAAAAAAAAAAAGCTCACTGCCAGTGAGTCGGATCTGACTCATTGCAACCCCTCCTTGGGTTTCTGAGGTGGTATCACTGTGGAACTAGATTACCCAACCTTCTTTCCGAAGAGTGGCTGGTGGGTTTGAACCTCCAGCCTCTGGTTAGCAGTCTAGTGCCTTAGGTATTACACCACCAGAGCTCCTCTCTGCAAAGATTATAGCTTTGCAAACCCTGTGGTGCAGTTCCACTCTGCCCTCTAGGGGCACTGTGAGTCAGCACGGCAGTGGGTGTGGTTTGGGCTTTGCTTCTGTAAAGATTGACAGCTTTGGAAACCCTCTGGGGCAGTTCCACTCTGTGCTACAAGGTCACTATGAGTTGGAATCTACTACATAGCAAAGGGTTTTTGCTATTTGTTTTTTGACTGCTAACCAGAAGGCTGGCGGTTCAAACCCACCAGCCACTCCTCAGAAGGAAGACTGGACAATCTACTTCCATAGAGAAAACCGCCTCAGAAACCCAACAAGGGGTCGCTGTGAGTCAGATCCGACTCGACAGCAGTGACTTTGATTTTTTCATTTACTGACATTTGGGGCTGTCCCGTGCAGTGGAGGAAGTTCACCGTATCCCTGTTCTCTGCCCACTAGACACCAGAAGCATCCTGCCTCTACTCCAAAGGTGACAATACTTCTAGACATCGCCAAGTGTCCTCTGGGGTGAGAATCCCCAGTGTAAAACTTACGGAGGGCCCGCCAAGTCTTATACCAAGCATTCAACACTTCACAGGCAACAAATCTCACTGAGTGGCCCAATGATTCCAGGAGGAATTACTCTCAACTTTAAGGATGGAGGAAACTAAGACAGTTCCAAAAGGACCAGATCGAGGTTACAGAGCTGGTCACTGTCAATGCTAGGATTCGAACCCAGGTCTGCCAGACTCCAAAGCCTTTGTTCTTAAAGCATGCCCTCTGCTGGACCCAGAAGGAAGAGGACACATATCACAAAGGGCAGTGTGGACAGGGAGACCGCCACATCTGGATCAATCCCTTACCAACATCAACTACAGTGGGTCACTCCCCAGTGATGGGACCAAATGCAATGTCCTGGCCATGGCCTCGGGGGCCCGTGTGGTCTGGGCTCCCAGCTTCCTGTTCAACCCTCTGCTTGCTCCCTGGCCCCTAGATCATCTTCCAGGTACACTGCTGCCTCAGGGCCTTTGCACTTGCTACTCCCTCTCCTTGGAATTCTCTGCCCCTGGATCTCCAACCAAGGAGCTCTGGTGGCACAGTGCCTAAGGCATTTGACTGCTAACCAGAAGGTTGGCGGTTCAAACCCACCAGCCACTCCTTGGAAGGAAGGTTGGGCAATCTACTTTTGTAGTGATACCGCCTCGGAAACCCAAGGAGGGGTCGCTAGGAGTCAAGTCAAGTCAATGGCAGTGACTTTGGTTTGGGCTTTGCTCCCATAAAGACTGAGAGCCTTGGAGACCCTGTGGTGCAGTTCCACTCCGTCCTCTAGGGGCGCTGTGGGTCAGAATCCCCTCCAGGCACTGGGTTTGGTTTGGGCTTTGCTTCTGTGAAGGTAGGAGCTCTGGTGGTGCAGTGCCTAAGGCATTTGACTGCTGACCAGAAGGCTGGCGGTTCAAACCCAGCAGCCACTCCTCAGAAGGAAGACTGGGCAATCTACTTTTCTAAAGATTTACCACCTCAGAAACCCAGTGGGGGCTGCTATGAGTCGGAATC